GCAACTCGTAAGGAAACACGTTGCAACTCGTAAACAGCAGCAGAATCATAGCATAAAAAAAAACTCTGAATACACGATGTTGCTTGATGTTTTGACGGCAAAATTCGATTTAAAAAGATAAAAAACGCATACGCTTTACAAATCATAGTTTGATTGTTTCGTGGTTTCACGATAGCATTCCAGTGCGTTCTCTCAGCGTCACACCTTATCTAGTGATCTTTCTCAAGAGCCATTTGGCAATGGGGTTTATTTCAAAAGAATGACTTCTCAGACGTTTTCTCATTGCCCTGAGGAAAAGTAGATTGAAAATTAAGTTTGAGACATGTTTTGTTGTTTTATGTGTATTTTTTAGCGTGCAATGGATACTTCAGTCTGAATACAAGCAAGAAGTAAACAACCCGTACGTTCACCACTCTCACTTGGAAACATAGAATGAAAAAGTGTCTGACAACTGGCGATTAATAAAATATTCTTCAAACAGTAATTCTAAATACAACGTAGCTCGATTACGCGGATAAGTGATCGCGTGACCCTGCCTATATCAAAATGTATCCCTCTTAGGTTACAACTTGAAATTCTGTCAAAATGATTTTGTATTCCAAACGGAATACATTTAATAAATTCGATCAATATCCAGATTTTGCACGCGATCAGAATATGGCTATCCTCTTTTCTCTAAAATTCTTGGCGATTCTAGACGATGTGTCGCTAGCTCTCCGCTACATAGTTAGAACTTAGTTGAGCAGCTTAAGGCTAAAAAACAGCGCTCTAATACTTTACCGCAAGACAAATGTCGCGATGAAATTCTTTAACCCCTAAAAATGATCTAAAAGTTGGTTCCTCAAAGCTTATACGTATCACATACATATTTTCGGTACATTAAGAGTCTCGGGAAAAACTAACCTAACTGATTCTCTCGTGAACACACATTAAGTGTATTCATCAATTATAAGCCTGAGCGATGGCTTTTGCATTTTCATACACTCATCGTCTTTCGGTCGAATATGTAATTCAGCAATGACTTTACGTATTCGCAAGAAATAGAATTGAACTCGAGTTTTACCTTAAACGGAAGCCCGAGACGATAGAGAGAGCGAAATAGTAAAGTCGATGGTAAGCTAGATATTCCTTAACACATAGCGGTATTAGCACAGGAAGTTTTCCTACACTCGTCATCTGTCGGTTAAATATTTAATCTAGCAATAACTTAACGATTTCGCATCAAATTGAAATGAAATCGATCATATTCTACTCGGAAGTCTGAATCAATAATCAAAGGAAACTGTGAATAAGTCATGGATACATTTTACGATAACGATTTCACATCAAATTAAAATAAAATCGATTCTATTTTACACGGAAATCTGAATCAAAAAAAAAAAGAAAAAAAACAGTGGAGTTGAAAACACGCCGAAAATTCCTTAACGCGAAATAGGACCGCAGTACAAGAGATTTTTGTACATTCACCGGATGTTTGCTAATCAGAGTAATGTCTAAACTGGGACAGAAACAGTTCGTAAGCACCGTATTTCCAAGCCTGATTACTTGAACAATTTAAGCTTATATGGTGGGTGTACAGTAAAAGATATAAACCCCGGTAAGAAATGTTTTACGTAATAGTCTAGTGAGCAGCGACATTACTATGCATATATCATTGGCAATAGCTGTTTGTGTAAGAGATTTCTTTTACACTTCACACCAGAGTAAGAAAATCTTAAAATGAAATTGATGCACAAACAGTGTCTTGGAATTGAAAGGAAAGTTCTCTTTTCCTTTTCCTGGATCCATTTAGAACTGCTTTCTGTTGCTATTGGCATCAGGCATAAATCGACAAACCTGATGGTAGCATGTACTTGGCTTAATGATCTTACCCATCTTAGACCTACATAAATACCATAACTGGCCCAGAAAGACTACTCTCGTAATAACTTATTCCTAGAATCCGCCATATGATTCCTTTATTTCAGATTTGTAACTTCATGCTAATTATCTAATTATGTAATTTCTGACGGTTGAGTGACTAGGAACGAATTAGTCAGAAATTACTATTCTGATGGCACGATTGAGAGGTTTTAGTATTCTCAGGGGAGAGTTTTGAGTATTTAATGTTTTAGCGAGGAATATTAATCATTCTAGCTCAGTCAGTCTTTCTGTTTGCTGTTGTCAATTTAGTTAAATTTTTTCTATGGAGTTATGAGTTTGTTTGTACCTCTTCCCCGAGGTTCCGTGTCACTGCATTAGATGGGGAATACGTTTCCACATATTTTTTGGCCACATCTAAAGAGTGGTTTTTTAGTGGTTTTTCGTATCTGGCGTGGTACACTTAATTTTTCAAGCTTTTCAAGTTAGACTTGCTAGCATATTCTATGTTGTAATAAGTATGTGTAATAAGTATATGTTACGACACATTGTTGTTGTCGGATGACTGACTGACCATTCCTCAATAAACTATTTCACATTGAATGTTTCGTGATAGTGTAGTCAGAATTAAGTGTTTTTACCATGAATGAGGGTGACAAGTGTCAAACCTACTTATCATACGGTATAACGTGTGTTCTTGTGGGGTAAAACTTGTTTTCCATGTTTTGCACGTGACCACAAACATGGCTGAGACTTGTGACAAAGAGTCTTGACATCTTTGAAGCTGTTTTCTCTGAACGTCTTGGCAATTGCAAATGTGTCGTTAGCTCTCTACTAGTACTTGAGATAACAATAGAGCAGCCTAAGGCTAAAAACCGCACATTTATACTTTACCGAAATACAAATGTGGCAATTAATTGTCTTAACCATTCAAAGTGATCTGAAAGTCGGTCTTCAAAGCTTCTACGTATCTTAAGATGCAGTAGCGGTACACTATGACTCTCGAGAAAAAGAACAAACCTAACCTGATTCCCTCGAGAGCACACATTAAGTGCCTACCCCAATTATAAGCCCGAGCGAGGGTTTCGCAGTTAATTTCGATTCCTTAGTAGCAAAGAAAGTTAGACTAAGAGATACGATCCATGCATATTTCAATATATTCTTTATCATAATTCATGGATTGTACATTTTACCCACATTAAAGCATCCTCGCTGAAGTGATGGTCATCTCTCGGTTGAAAATGTAATTCAACAAATGATGAACTGTCATGTAACAAATAGAAATGAACTCGATTTTACCTTTCACGGAAATCCGAAACAACAAAGAAAGCAAAACAGTCAAGTCGACAGCACGCTAGATATTCCCTAACGCAAATTAGTGATGTGGCTGCCATGTGGCTGCCATGGGCGACTAACTCTCAGCAAATCAATCAGAGTTTTTAACGCGACTTTACAATATATTTAATCTTAAAAAATCCTGACACAAGTTGGTATTGATCTGATCGGGTCGGTTAAAAATTAGCAAACAAATTAGCGTGCGAATTCTTATTACAATGTAAATTAAGGTAAATACGCCTAAAACTAAATACGCTCAGGAAAACTACAGCGAAAATAACCACGAAAACTTACATTTGTTGCGATGCTGTTGAATTACTGCCTAATGGCGAAGAAGCTGCACGACGTGCGATACAATGAAATATAATTTCTGCTTAGCAAGCGGACTTACTGAGTAAACTGAACAAACTTCGATGAACAATACGGTCTAAAGACATGCAACGTTACACAAAGTTACGAAATGTTACCGGCATAGTGCGTGCAAAATATAACTGTAATTAGTGATGTTTGCACAAGAACAATAAACAAAAAAGAAAAAAAAAAAAAAAGAGTAAAGCTTTTGTGATCTACTTCAGTGAAAGTGTTTTTCATAAACTCGTCATCTTTCGGTTGAGTTTGTAATCCAGCAATTACTTTAAGTATTCGCAAGAAATAGAATTGAACTCGATTTTACCTTACACGGAAGTCCGAGACGATAAAGAGAGCGAAACAGTAAAGTCGATGGCACGTTAGATATTCCTTATCGCAAACTAGTTACCACAATGCAAAGGAATTTGAATACACTTATTATCTTTCGGTTGTATAAGTAATTCAGCGATTACTTTGCGATTTCGCGAGAAGAGGATCTGAAATCGATTGAATTTCACGAGGAAGTATTAAAAGATAACAAAGGGATGACAGTGAAGTCGACAACATGCCAGATATTCTTTAACGCGAAATAGAACCGAGGTGCGAGATATTTTTGTTCGTCCTCCGGATGAATAACAGAGCACTTAATTTCTGACCCCTCGGGAAACAGTTAATTTTGTTTTTCTTTCAAGTCTCCATGTTTCCCTCTACTTCGTCACGGGGAAAAGTGGGGCTCTCGGGAAAACAAAACCAACTGCTTCCGCTTCCATTTAGTGTATATTGTAAAAAACTTAGGGGGGCATTGGCAGTTTATTTTAATTCCTTACCAGCAAAGGTAACAGATCTAGAGAGGCATGATCCATGTATATTTTTTTATAAATTCCTTATAATGGTGCAAGGATTGCACATTCTAGGTACATTGAGGTCCTCTCGCTCCACTGATGATCGTTTTTCGGTTGATCATGTCATTCAGCGATTAGTTTAGGACTTCACAACAAATAGAGATCAGATCTGTTTACAAGTATATACACGGAAGTCTGAAACGGCAGGGTTGCGCAAAAACAATGCTTGACATTATAGTAAGGTTACTCCTACACTGAGGTTTCTCTTTCTGAAGACTTTTTGTGTTTTTCAAGCTTCATTGACGTACCTTCCGTTACGTAAGAGATTCGACATCGAGAATTTTTAAGCAGAAACGTGACTTGGTAAGGATTGATTTGCAAATCAGGACTCGCCTCACAATCTTAACCTGAACCTAGTATTTATTTTTCATTCATCTCTTAGTAGAGGTAATCACATGATTTTGCCGGAGTGGAATTTGGAATAAATAAGCACGGGTAACTTTTTTCAAAGATTAACAAAATTGCACGAGCCCGTAGAGCGAGTGCAATTTGTGGTCTTTGAAAAAATTTAAAAAGTACTTGTGGACTAGTGGTGTTTAGAGAAGGGAATTGCTTTTATTTTAGGTGTAGAAGATCCAAGTCCCTGAGGTAACATCGGCTATTACGATGGAAACACCATCCTTTGTCAGGTCCTTCTCTGAATCTGAAAACTCCTGGCCCAAACCGCTTCCGTCGTACAACTTGATGGACATGATGGATCAAACCTGGAATAGATTGACATGGAAATAACAAAACAAATGTAAATGAATTTACTATGATTGGTTACTTCGCATTAAATCCCGTTTTTGCACAGACGAGGCTTTAAGGTTAAAATTCCATCAATAAAGGCAATGAAAATCTCGAGAAATGAGCGGTTGAAGAAGGCAAGAATTTTCAACTTTCCAAAACGGCTCTTCTGAATCGGGCCAATGTAATTTTGGGAGGAGTTGACCTATCAATTGTTAGTATTTAAAACAAGACTGACACATTTTTTTTGTGTTTCCAATAGTAGGCTTCTGATTTCCAGCTACACCTTTCGAGAGATTTTTCCTAACCTTTGTTTTCCAAGCCTTTTTTAGAGGACTACTTTTTCTTGACGTCTTACGAGACTCCAGAAGACAAATTTGGGACTATCTATGAGATTCCTTTTATAGCATTTCATAGAACAGAACTGCGCATGTCATTGACGTGCTGTTTACGAATTGCAACAAAGAAGTAAGAAACTTAATTAGGCTCCTAACACATAATCAAAAGAACTAAAAAATATTGAAACGTTTCACCACACCTATTCAATATCATAGTCTTTGGCTGACAATAGTCCACTTAACAGTTATGTACTTAGTTGCCAAGCCTTTGATTTGGAGTGAGGCTGAAGGTGACCATGTTGTGATAGAGACCAGTATCTAGTTAGCATAACAGCAAGGCAATTTACATTTGAAAACCAGCAATGAATGGCCTCTCAGATGTTTTCTCATTGCCCTGGGGTAAACTAGATTAAAAATTTACTTGCCTTTCATGTGAGGGTATTGTCTTTCATGTCAGTCATGTCATGGAATTTGGGTGCTGCAAAGTAAACGTTGCAAAGTAATCAACCCAACATTGACGCACACTAAGAATGGCATTGAGAAAGAACTAGAGTGTTTGTTTTGGAAGGGCACGTTTCGCTGACTCTGGCGAAAATTGCGCAAAGCATTTACATAAAGGATATTTGAAAAGTAATCTTGTTTTTGTCTCACAATTGCTTATTCTTGGATGTCTTATTCCAGATCGCACTTTCTTGTGGTTTTTTTTTCCACATATCTTAACTAATAAGTGCCCAAGCTTTAATAGGCTTCCTTCTTCGAATAAACACCCACCCCCTGATGATATTTCATAATAGCCGTTTGGCACTGAGGTGAGTTCATAAAGAATGATTCGTTTCTCTCGGACTTTGTTTCATTACCCTGGGGTGAATTATACCGAACACGTATTTTAAAAATTAATTGGTTGGTTATTTTAGGTGCAGTTTTAGCATGCGATGGGTACCGTAGTCCGAATGGTTAAAACAGGAAGTGAAATGACCCAATACGTTCATCACCCCCGCTGATAAAGAATCACATAGAGGACAAAAAAGAACTACACTTCTGAATATACGATGTTGTTTGAAGTTTTAACGGCGAAATTCGATTAAAAAAGATAAAGAACGTACACACCTTTCAAATTATAGCTTGATTTTTTTCGTGGTTCAGCACGTTCGCCCAGTGTCATACCTTGTGTCATGATACTTCTCACGCATTCTGATGCATTTCGCCCCGGGGTTAATTTCAAAAGAATGGCTTCTCAGATGTTTTCTCGTTGCCCTGGGGAAAACTGGTTGGAAAATTTACTTGCTTTTCATGTCATGGTATTGTCTTTCATGACAATCATGTCATGGAATTTGGGTGCTGCTAAGTAAATATTGCAAAGTAGTCAACCCAACATCAACGAAAACTAAGATTGGAATTGAGAAAGAACTTTGATACTATCTACCTAGTTAAAAGGTTCATGTGCTTCGTGAAGACCTCGCGATCGTCGCCAAGATCTGTCGGAATCAGAAAGATCGGCAAGGAATATTTTTACCACTTAGAAGTTTACACGTGTTTTGTGTACTGTTCCTTCACTTACAACGCACACACCGACAGCTAAAGGCCTAACACGAAATCATCACTGGAGTGTTTGTTTTGGTAGGGCAAGTTTTTCTGCTTTGGTGTAAATTTCGCAAGGCATTTACATGAGGCATATTTGAGTAGTAATCTTGGTTTTGTCCTATGGTTACTTATTCTTGGATGCAAAGCATTTCTAAAAGGATATTTGAGAAGTAATCTTGTTTTTGTCTCATGGTTGCTGTTTTGCGAAGATTGAAAAGATCAACAAGCTATATTTACTTTCTGCGTCGACTGCCATGTTACATATCTGTTTCTTTGCTGTAAATGTTCTCCATGAATTACATCTTGTCAGTGAAATGGTATATTTTCGATTCAATTTCGTGTTTAGTTGTCACAGTTGCCTATGCTTTCCCCGATGAAATAACATTTGCCGGTAAACAACTTAAAATTACGACACAATGTGCAGTGCACTGGTCTAGCAGAGCTCGAGGTCATGGGTTCAAATCCCGTGTAGGCCTGAATTTTTTCTTCAGACCTTATTTTTACTACTTCTTGAGTGGTGTTCATCACTGTAAAGATCGGTTTCAGATTTATTCCTTAATCTGCAGCTACCATATCAGATTTTGACATATTCATAGTAATGATATTATTTTGTTGTCTTTGTAAGAAGTGCTCGGTCGAAATTCTAGCCAGTCCTTGAAATAATGAATATTTCTGTGATGCGTTTGATAACTGTTGACTTCATGTCAACATCACAGACTCTATGTTACACTCTGGTCACGGGAAAAAAACGGTTGAAAATGGCAATTTTTGCTCTCCTTTACTTAAAAACGCAGCTTTGGTGCAAATTAAAATCCGAGTTATGCAATACTAAACACATCCATAGGGTAAGATCACATCCATTTCGCCTAAAAAAAGCTCTTTCTTTCATAAAAAATAAAAATGCCAACCTTTTGCAGTAAACTTCTTTTATTTGACTCATCTCTAATGACTTAAAGTGCTGAGCTGAATTGACAAAATCTTATTTTGCTAACTTTTTATCAATCAAAAGATAACAATAAGGCTAAAAACTAAAAAAACAAATGAACAAAACAAAACACGAAAAGAAAAGAAAAAAAGGGTGGTACGAAATGCAAACGAAGAGCCAAGTAAGGTTGGTCAGCTCATTTCTTGCGGAGGCTCTGCAATCGGTCGTTGGGGAATTTCATGGCGTCTGGAGTTGCATAGCGCGTGTCTGGCTCCAGTTGCTGTTGCAAGCCCTGATAGTTGGGTTTGGTGAAGATGGCAAACTTCTGGTTCTTTGATAACACGATGGCAGAGGAGACTCCTTCACCTTTCCCGCTCTGGAAATAGGGGTTCACATTTGCGCAACTTTCTTCAAACCACTGCACGAAATTGTGGAAGTAATAGAACCCAGATAAAGGAGAAACAACATTCATAAAAAATAATAATGTACCAGCATCTAATCTCTAAGACACTAAATAAAAGAATAAGCTCGTTTGCAGGAATGCCTTAAGAAAAGTTTTGAATCTTATCTGATTTAACTCCTCATTTGATATGAACAGGACGAAACAGAGCTATGACGTTAACTGGAAAAAAGTGCTCCACATTGTCACGAAACATGAACCGTTTTGTATCGAAGGGAAAGAGAGGAAAAGATATGGGGACAAGATAATCAGTTTTGACACCAGATGTCTGATCTCCGTTACCCTTTCAACAATCTGATCGCTTTTCAATATCTCTCGCGCGCGTCACTTAAATCAAGTGTCTGCATGATGTATATATGATATGTTTGTGATTCCTTATCAGCATGAATCTATGTGAAAACAAGCTCTATTATTTATCTCTGTCTAAGCGACTATGAAGATTATTCATCGGGAATAATCTACTTTTTTAAATAATGACTCCAAGCCCGAGTTCACTGACGGCCAATTTCAAACCGAAATAACTGAAGGAAAAAAAAATCATGTTCTATGATCCAACACTATCCTTAATCCATTTAGAACTGATTGCTACTTACTGCTGATTTCTTCTTTTTGTCTAAAAAGAATCGTAAGACAGAGCAGAGCGTTTTTTACAGAGAGCGTGAGCTATTGATTAATGAAAAGCTTATGTATTTTAAGCACCTTGTTGGTTCCACCGTAGAAGCTATGCTCGAACAGAAGGATTCCTTCCACTTGGTCCGGAACGAGGAACATGGAGCCATTCACACCTGAGATGTTTATATCTGCTCCAGGCCCGACAACCTTGTAGTTAGATGGGCCAGCACCAGCTTCTTTGTCATTGTTGTTTGCGTGGGTGTAGAAGATCCAGGTTCCCGAACGAACATCGGCTTTTACGAAGGAAACACCATCCTTTTTCAGGTCCTTCTCTGAATTTGAAAACTCCATGCTCAAACCGCTTCCTTCGTACAACTTGATGGACATGATGAATCAAACCTGGAATAGATTGACATGGAAATAACAAAACAGATGTAAATGAATTTACTATGATTGATTACTTCGCATCGAATCCCGTTTTTGCACAGACGAAGCTTTAAGGTTAAAATACTATCAATAATAGTAATAAAAATCTCGAGAAATGAGCGGTCGAAGAAGGCAAGAATTTTCAACTTGCCAAAACGGCTCTTCCGAATAGGGCCGATGTAATTTTGGGAGGAGTTGACCTATCAATAGGTAGTATTTAAAACAAGACTGAGACATTTTTTGTGTGCTACGCCTTCCGGGAGATTTTTCCAAACCTTTGTTTTCCAAGCCTTTTTTCTTCTTGACGTCTTGCGGGACTCCAAAAGACAACTTTGGGACTATCTATGACATTCTTTTATAGCATTTCATAGATCAGAACTGCGCATGTCATTGACGAGCTGTTTACGAGTTGAAACAAGGAAGTAAGAAGCTTAATTCGGCTCCTAACACATAATCCGACAAAAGAGCTAAAAAAAATATTGACACGCTTCACCATACCTACTCTATATCATAGTCTTTGGCTGACAATTGGCGCTTCACAAGATATTAGTCTTGAAGGACTAATTCTCAATAAGATGTTGCTGGATAGTTTAACAGCAAAATTGAAACTAATAAAAACGCTCGCGAGTTTTATCTCTTTGCATGCCTTCAGGTAGGAGATGACAGCTTGTCTAATTTGTAGTTTCACGGTAGCATTCTAGCTCGTACTCTCGTGTTTTTTTTTTTCGCATTTCTCAACGTATAAGTGCCCACACCCTAAAGATATTTGACCAGAGCAATTGGTTGGTTGTTTAAGGTGTAATTTTAGTATGCGATGGATGCTTTAGTCTAAATGTAAACAAGAAGTGAAACGATCCGATAAGTTTGCCACTCCCACTAAAAATCAAAGGACAAAAAAGAACAACACATCTGAACATACGATGTTGCTTGATGTTTTGAAGACAAAAATTCGATTTAAAAAAGATAAACTATTACTACACGCCTCTCAAATCATAGCTTGGTTGTCTCCTGGTTTCACCATAGCATTCCAGCACGTTCTCCCTCAATAGCCATTTCGCAATGAGGTCAATTGCCTTTCATTTTTTTTCTTTTTTTTTTTTTTTTGGTTATTGTGTATTTAAACATGCTTATTAATTTTATACATTGCAAGCAACAGAAATTATGTTTACCATAAAAATATGATTACACTGACAATTATATACTCACTTGAACTAGAATAAAAGTATTGTGTCAGTGATCATAGTATTTGTTGGACACTTTCTACATCTGTATTGTAAATTTGCAGACCTGAGGGTTCAACACTATCTGGGGTAGATCTTTTTTTTCTTTCATGTCATGATATTGTCTTTCATGTCAATCATGTCATGGAAATTGGATGCCGCAAAGTAAACGTTGCAAAGTAATCAACCTAACATTGACGCACACTAAGAACGGCATTGAGAAAGAACTTTGCTACCATCTCGCCAGTTAAATGGTTCATGTCCTTCGTGAAGACCTTGTCGCTAAGATTTGTCGGAATTAGAAAGGTCGGCAGGGAATATTTTTTTATTTTTTACCGTTTAGAAGTTGACAAGTGTTTTGTGCACTGTTCCTTCACTTGCAATGCATGCGCCCACAGCTAGGCCTAGCACGAAATCATCACCTGAGTGTTTGTTTTGGAAGGGAAAGTTTTGCTGACTGTAGTGAAAATAGCGCACAACATTTACATAAGGCATGTTTGAAAAGTAGTTTTGGTTTTGTCCAACGATCGCTTATTCCTGGATGTCTTATTTCAGCTCGCACTCTATTATGTTTTTTTTTGTTTTTTTGTTTTTTTTTTCACATTTCTAAACTATTAAGTGCCTACGCTGTAATAAGCGTCGTTCCCGAATAAGCACTCACTCCCTAATGATATTTCACAATAACCATTTTAGAACGACCTGAGATATTCACCACTCCCACTAAGAATCATAGACCAAAAAAGGAACAACACTTCTGAATATACGATGTTGCGTGATGTTTTGACGGCAAATTTTGGTTTAAGAAAAGATAAAAAACGCATACGCCATTCAAATCACAGCTTGATTGTCTCCTGGTTTCAAGAGAGCATTCCAGCACGTTCTTCCAGCGTCATACCCTATGTAATGATATTCCTCAAGAGCCATTTCGCCATGAGGTTCATTTCAAAAGAATGACTTCTCAGACGTTTTCTCATTGCCCTGGGGGAAACTAGTTTGAAAATTCAATTGGGGACGTGCTTTGTTGTTGTATATGTATTTTTAGCGTGCAATGGATACTTCAGTCTGAATACAAGCTAGATGTAAACAACCCGTACGTTCACCACTCCCACTTGGAATCATAGAATAAAAAAGTGTCTGACAAGCGGTGATTAACAAGATATCTTTCAAACTGTAATTCTAAATACAACGTAGCTCGATTACGCGGATAATTGATCGCGTGACCCTGCCTAAATCAAAATAATCAAAATGCAACCTACTTAGGATACAATCTTGAAATTCTCTCAAAATAATATTTTATTCCAAGCGGGATACATTATTAAATTCGATCAATGTCCAGATTTTGCGTGATCAGAACGTGGCCAAGCTCTTTCTCTAAAATTCTTGGGGATTCTAGACAATGTGTCGCTAGCTCTCCGCTACTTGAGAACTTGGTTGAGCAGCTTAAAGCTAAAAATCAGCGCCTTTATGTGCTATCGAAAAACAAATGTCGCGATTACCACAGTGGTATTACCACAGTGCAAGAAGTTTTCCTACGCTCGTCTTCTTTCAGTTAAAAATTTAATCCAGCAATACCATAACGATTTCGCATCAAATTGAACTGAAATCGATTCTATTTTACACAGAAGTCTGAATTAATCAAAGAGGAAAACAGTGGAGTCGAAAGCATGCCAGGAATTCCTTAACGAGAAATAGAACCGCGGTGCAAGAGATTTCTGTATCATCATTGATGTTTGCTAATCAGATTAATCAGATTAATCAGTCTAAACTAGGACAGAAACAATTCATAGGCATCGTATTTCCCAGCCTGATTACTTAAATAGTTTAAGTTTATGGGCTGTGTGTACAGCGAAAGCTTATAACCCCTGGTAAGAAATATTTTAGTGACATAACCATATATCATTTGTTATAGCTGTTTGTGTAAGAGATTTCAATTACACTTCACGCCAGAGTAGGAAAATCTTAAAATGAAATTGATGCACAAACAGTGTCTTGGAATTGAAAGGAAAGTTCTCTTTTCCTTTTCCTGGATCCATTTAGAACTGCTTTTTGTTGCTATGGGCATTAGGCATAAATCGACAAACCTGATGGTAGCATGTACTTGGCTAAATGATCTTACCCATCTTAGACCTACATAAGTACCATAACTAGCCAGAAAAACTACTCTCGTAGTAAATCATTCCTAGAATCCGCTATACGATTCATTTATTTCAGCTTTGTAACTTCATGCCAATAATCTAATTTAAGTGTTTTTACCATGAATGAGGGTGACAAGGGTCAAACCTATTTATCATACGGTATAACATGTGTTCTTGTTGGGTAAAACTTGTATTTCATGTTTTACACGTGACCACAAACTTGGCTGAGACTCGTGATAAAGAGTCCTGACATTTTTGAAGCTGTTTTCTCTGAACCTCTAAGTAATTCCAGACGATAGTACTTGAGATAACAATAGAGCAGCCTCAGGCTGAAAAACAGCACAGTTATACTCTACCAAAATACATATGGTGCGAATAATTGTTTTAGCCATTCAAAATGATCTGAAAGTCGGTCTTCAAAGCTTCTACGTATGTTAAGATCGCATTAGAGGTACAATGAGACTCTCGGGAAAAAAAAAACCTAACTGATTCCCTCGAGAGCACACATTAAGCGTGTACACTAATTATAGGTCTGAGCGAGGGTGTCAAAGTTAATTTCGATTCCTTAGTAGCGAAGAAAGTTTGACTAAGAGGTACGATCCATATATATTTTAATATATTCTTCATCGTCATTCATGGATTGTACATTGAACTCAAATTAAAGAATCCTCGCTGAAGTGATGGTCATCTTTCGGTAGAAAATGTAATTCAACAGTGAATGAACACGAAATGGAGCCGCAGTTCGAGATATTTCTGTTCGTCCCCCGGAGATATCACGAAGTACTAAAAATCTGACCCCTCGGAAAACAGATAATTTTGTTTTACTTTCAGTTCTCAATGTTTCTCTCTACTTCGTCTGGGGAAAGAGTAAGGCTCCCTTTATACATACATACATATACATATACATACATACATATATATGGAGTTGTATGTTACTCGTATCAATCAGATCGCACCACAGGAGTGTGTTTCCACCAATCAGGGCGTCAGGGTATTGATGATGTCAATAGTGTCATGGAATTAAAGTAAATGTTGCAAAGTAATCAGCCCAAAAGTGACGCACATTAAGAATGGTACCGACAAAGAACTTTGATCCCATCTACCCAGTTAAATGGTTCATGTCCTTCGTGAAAACCTCGTCGCTAAGATTTGTCGGAATGAGAAAGGTCGGCAGGGAATATTTTTTTCCCATCTAGAAGTTAACTCGTGTTTTGTGTACTGTTCCTTTACTTACAACGTACTCGCCGACAACTAAAAGCCTAAGACGAAATCATCACTGGAGCGTTTGTTTTGGAAGGGCAAGTTTTGTTGACTCTGGTGAAAATTGCGCAAAGCATTTGCATAAAGCATACTTGAGTAGTGATCTTGTTTTTGTCTCATGATTGGTTTTTTGGCGAAAATTGAAAAGATCAACCAGCAGTATTTATTTTCTGCCTCGACTGCCGTATCACATATCCATTTCTTTGCTTTAAATGTTCTGCAAAAATTAGATCTTGTCAGTTGAACGATATATTCTTATATTACTTTAAAATACCACTACTAAGTTAACAAAAAATAAAATTGTCTACATCTTTGTTAAGATTTGTAATGGTTCCTGGAACAAATGTCACTTTTCTTAACTTAGTCTTGTTGCATTTTAGCCTTGTTTTGAAGTTTTCAAGTTTATCTAAGAGCCTTGATGAACTGTCAAGAGAATTCCATTGAAACTGTTTCTCCCTAGATCTGTGTTTATGGGTTTGATTTCCGCATTTCTAGCGGAAGCTCTGCCATCAGTCGTTAGGGAAACTCCGCGTCCCTCGGACTTCTTTACCACGGGGTTTCACATCTGGGCGACTTTCTTCCAACCACTGCATGAAATTGTGAAAAAAAATAGCACTCAGATAAGAGAAGAAACAACTTTCATAAGTTATAATTCGATACTATCATCTAAGCTCTAAGATGTCTGCTGTCGCTGACAGTCAGGCCTAAAAGTCTCGTTCACAAGCTAACTCTAGAAAAGTCTTACGAAGTCTGTCGCGTATCAAGCGAACATGAGGTGTTGTGTACTGGAGTTTGGGGCCGGAAGGGCCCTTCAGTGAAATGTCTCAGAAAAACTTTTTATTTATTGATTTACTTTTTTTTTTTGAAGTTCCTTGTTTGGTTGTGTGCCTTTAGTAGAAAATAAGTAACTTTTCTTTTGCTGTGCCAATTTTTTTCCTGCCGTCCCCCTCCGCCCTTGTTTTGGTACGGTCTCGAATCAGCGAGATAAAAAGATAGATTTGTAAGGCGTCGGCTCATTATTCCAAATACTGAATATGATATTTCTGATTGTAATGATAGTGATGATGATAATCGTCATTTACACTATGAGTTTTATCGTTATTCTTGTTATTGTTATTATTATTATTAGTCTTATTCTTGTTATTAATCTTCATATTACTGATATTTTCATATTGTTATCGATTCTGGATCGATTTTCCACCTCGAGGTGAAAAACCTTTCTTAAACATATCTTAGCGTCGAGGAGAAGCATTTTTTAAAGCAATTTGTTGTTAGTGTGCAATTCACATAACCAGTTAACAATCTCTTGATACAACTCATTCCTTACCTCAGATACCAGTACTAAAGGAATTTCCATGTTTTTGGATGGTACTTCAAAATGGGAATTTTCAATTCGGTAATATGTGGCAAAAAAACCCTGAATAGATTATGAATGATTCAAGAATATGATTATCTACCTTTCTTATGGTCGAGACCAAGAAGGACACAAAAGCGGTTGCACTTGTGTGTGCGGGCAAACTCGTTAAAAACTCTCTTGCCGAGGTTTCCAACCGCAAACAAACTGTGAAACAGGATTTTAATCAACATTAGACTTCAAGACGCAGACAAACTGCAGGATCACCACAGTGACCTTTTTCATGATAGAAAATACATCTTTGTAGTGATAGGGATTTTGAGAAATTTTGTACCGCCATTGTCGAATCACCAATGAAAAAATAAGTTGGGCTGCAATCTTTCTGCAAACAATGGGTTTAAATATGAACCATATTTTTTTACTTCCTCTTGAAAGAAACTCAGGTTTTTTAAAAAGTTCAGTAGTCTTGAATTAGTTAATGTAGGTTAAGCCCTCGTCCTCAACAGGAGTTCCTGCTTACTTATGCATTTCCCACGTGCCCCATTTTTGGCGATAGCCAGTGATCATGAAAAATTAAACGTTTACCTTGAAAACGAGCTACATTCAACTGTCTGTGAACAGTCAAGTACACCTCCCCATTGATTTAACAAAACGACAGTGGTTTTGCGTGGTCTGCAGTCTTATCGACAACGATATTCGTCAACACAGTGGTCAAATTTTGTTGTGGAGTCACTCGGCTTTGCCTCGTTTTTACCACAATATCAACCTCGAAATTCCCGAGTCATCCATGTTTGAGAGCTAAGTAAAGCATTGCGTGACACGTTGACGCGAGCAGCGTTGTCCATACTCTTACCGATAACGACAAATTGGCCAATCAGATTGCAACATTACTTCCAATTGAGGAAAAAGTTATCTTCTCATAAATTTAAAATTAAACTCTGCTAACTTACTTCCTGTCCACTGATGCCAGTTGGAGGTCTGTAAGCGCATTCTCCGTCCCTACAGAAAGGTAAAATAACAGAAGGATCACTCGTTTGTACGCTAAATTATTTTCTTAATGATTGAAAAACAATCGAATCGATATGATTGTGGTTGATATAATTACATATTTTGACTTATGGTCAAGATCTACTACATCAACTGATCAAAGCTGTATTAATATTTCTAACCTTGTACGTCACAAATGAGGAATTCACCACGCGTGAACACCAAGGTCCAGTGGACGAATGCCAAGCATTTTAGACCCAAGTGGCAACTTCGGCCGAATTCCGTTGGTAGCCCATCGTTGTTAATAAATTTTCTGTACTTGTTGGAAGGGTTGATCATTGGCTCTACGGTCAGGAACTCTGTTGTTCCTTGCCGTTGCACCAGAAAGGTTGGAAGTATCCTATCGAGCATGAACATAAAGGAAAGAAGATTACCAAAAAAAAAGACCTTACAGACTTTCAAAACGTTAAACAGGGCGAAAGAAGTGAGGGCAAAGAGCGCAACAGTCGACGTTCGTTGATGTTTCTACGTCCATCGAGGACTGCAACAGACATTAGTAAGTTATCAAAGTATTAGTTATGTCGTAGAGTACTGCACATTCGCCTTTTGGGGGCCCGGGCACAGACATATAAAGTGAACCCGGCTAACATCATAAGAAATTTTAGAAAGGACGACAAAAGATAAGAGGCAGGCCTTTAAATACATACTTTGGGAATTCACCAAAGCCTCTGATGCCTTTGGCTTTTTGTCGAAATATCTTTCCCAGCCCCTGGGCGATGGCCTGCGTCTGAACATCCTGAGTTGAGATAGAAAACACCGATTTTTATTATCAGTGGAGAAAAAGAGTCCTTTCCTTAACGAAGAACTCTATAACATACAAGGCTATTCAATCTGGCCTGGAGATGTAATTAATACCTTGGAAAATTATAAATGACTAGACACTTCTAAATCCCATGTAAATCAGACACAGCTACTAGAACTTCGGCGATTCATTAACGAAGCCAGACAAAAACGAGCTTAAAGATTCAATATGAAATTTTTTTAAATTCTTAAATGGCAGAGTTAACTGAGCGTCACAGCCGAGACAAAACTGGCCACTCACAGACTGCACTGTATTATACCGAAGCGAATATAATTAAAAGTATTTAAAAGCTTACCTTTCTGCACAAATCATACGTTTTGCCTGGCTCTTTGGTTCTGTGTACTTTCGCAACCCATCCATTTGGGGCTGGAACGTCGAATTCTTTAGGAAAATTTGAAATTTCTGCTCTATAGCAGTTTCTCATGCCCCCCCTTCCGATAAGTTCTTTCAGGTTTATGACCACCTCTTGTTGGGAAATTTCCCACTTTCCCTTGAAGTTCGACTTTTCGACTGTAAAGGCTTGGATCAGAAACGTATCTATTGAACAAGAAAAAAAAAGCCATTTGAATTTTATGCACCACAACAAAATTTAGTTAAAAAAACCAAATAACAAGGAAAATTGGAATATAATATGAGAAAAAGTTCCCAAGTTATCCTTGTTAGATTGTCGATAACGTATTAAGCAAAACCAACCGTAAGAGACTTTGACATCTTTCCCGCATCTCACCATCTGAGCTAAGGCACTCTCAGGCACTTCAGATTTCTTGCAATATTCTGAAGGCAAGCATACTATGTCAAACCATAAATAAGATTTTAAGACGATTAATTAATCATTAGGTTCCCATGACTATCCTACAGTCCATTTAAATTCCTGGGTTGGTGCATGGTCAGGAAAAATTTCCGCACAGCCCCATACTTCATTATGCATGCACATCTTATTGGTGATATACTGAATAATAAAGCCCCATATATGGATGCATAATGAAATATGGGGCTGTGCGGAAATTTTGCCAAAACAAGAGCCAGCAGTTGTTAATCCAATTCAACCAAGTATTTCATGAAAAGGTATGCAACACTAACCTTGTGGAAGGATGCTCGAAACCGGATCCTGTTTCGACTTTGTAGATGGATGACGCGGAAGACCTCTCTATAACACAAGGAAAAAGGAAGTTGGCTTTTTTATTTTCACCAGTCGGCCTGAATATTACCCTCCCTGTTTCCTCTTTAAGAGCATCACAAGGAGATACTGGCAGCGTTTAAAAAAAAAGTAAAAGCGAGTACCTGTTGAGGCTGGTTCCCGCTGAGCTGTTGCCGTCTTCTTTGTTTCACCCCCTTCTGCAGTTTGCCAAAGTCTTGCAAAAAAAAGCACATAACGAACACAGATAAATCATTTTCACTCAGAGTGAGTACGAACAAAACCAAAAACCTTAACGAACCGCACTCAGTTCAAAACGTCAGCGCACCCTCGGACGTAAACATGGGATATGATGCATAAGTAATAAGATTGATGTGCTAGTAAATTCAAGGTCACACTTAATTGCCTGTACCTTGTGAAGCTTTTTTCTTCCTGTCTGAAACAGCGGAAAAAGCAAATTTGATCATATCAAAAGTTAACGATTTGACTGAAATTTGGAGAGACTTCTCTAATAGTTCTAGCGAGAGTTCTGGGCCATGCGAACGATTACTAACCGTTTATCGTTAGTCTTCCAAATACAGAGTTCTGCTTTAATTTTACTTATTTTAGAATTAAGGCAGTCCTAATTTTTCCTCCCTCTAAACTTTCAGCCCTTGTAAAAACAAACAGCTTGAATTTAAGCGGAATCAATCTCTAGGGGCCAGCCACGCTTGGCAAAATGAATACGACGCAACATATTTCATATTTCTGACATATGACATACATTCCTCGCGGAATGGTAAATAATTGTAATAATGACATCAAACTATTACTTTATGAGATCTGTATTCTATTTTAAGTTTAAATTTGGGTAATTCGTTTTCTTTCGTTTAGTAGGGCAGCATACGAAGTTTGGTTAGGGACAGATTCAACCAATTTCCAACAGGAAGAATCAGAAAGTGATCTTATTTTTTCTGCAGCGTACTTTCAAAATAGAGCAAGCTGTTTTATTCCAATCAGAACACTCGTAATATCGAATCCTAATCAAAATACTACTTTGACATGTAGCTATAGCAACTGCTCTTCAGGCATGACAGGCATTTCTTTTTAAACTAAAATTATACTTTCTATTTCGTTTTTAGGCCCAGTGTTTCGCTGTTGGGGGTTGAATATCCTGTGGTTTGTTTTAATATCATGAAATAAAGAAAACCTATGAAAAATATTATGAATATTCTGTTTAACTGTTCAGGAATGCAACCCAAAGTTTAAATCTTAAGGCTGGATAAGAGACTACCACGATTAAAAGTTTCGAGGAGAGCGTGTTTGTTGAATACATCACACTTGTTACGAATTTCCCTGTCTGGCTGGGTGAAAGAGAAAGAAGGATTTAAATGTTCCTTTGCATCGATCAAGTCGTCTGTGGATAAGGGCTCTTATTCAAATCAGCACTAAACAAGTGAGTCGGAGTGAATCTATTTGAAATTTAATCATCTTCTTCAAGAACTTCAAGCGAAGGGACGGTTAGGCCGGTGAGCAAATTTCATAGAAACTTCTTCCCTCTGATAATTTAAAAAGCTTGTTTCTTTCATGGCGATGGAAATTTGAATACTTCGACCATCTTAGTTGGTTTTTCTCAATCGCTGTCCGCTTACACAATTTTTTCTCTGGCCGTAGTGTTATCACCATCTTATGTTCTCCTGCACTAGTTGCGAATGATTTTGCAATGTCTTTGAATACGTATATATGTTAAATGATGTCGACGTTCGGATAGTTTCTGTGGCGATTCTGTTCTAAAAATTTTCTGTTTATGAACTAGAATCAAAGTCCTGCTCCAAAGATAGTAAAAGGAGGAATACGAGCATAGCAAACATGCTTGTTTGAATAGCACAAAATGTGGTATGAGAAGTGTTTGTCCTTATTTTGAGAGTTCACCTACCTCCTTTGCCGATAATAATTCGATGTAAACTAACTGAACAAAAAAAAATGGTTGAAACTCTATCTTACAGGCTCTAAAATTTAGTCAAGAGAGATAATTTCCGGTTTGAAAACTTCATGAAAACGAGGTGAACGACAAACTTTTATCTATATTTCAGGTCAATTCGTGCGAAGAATGAGCAAGAATGGCAACCATACACACAGGAGTTTCATAGCTGGAAACACATGCACTGTATAACCAATTATTTCAAACCTTCAACAAATTTAAAGTGTAAATGAGACTACTTTAAAGAAATAGTTAAGTAGGTAAAGGCTTTTGCTTTGGGTTACTCATATGTGTACTTCCAATTGAATGCAACTGGTTTTGAACTCGTCCTAGTGTTGATATCGTTGGCTTTACCTGCTGGGGTGCTTGTCATTTTCAAACGTTTTAGTTCAAACTTTCTGCGAAATGAATCTTATTTTATGAAAAGGGTGTAACGAGTTCAAACACAGATTAAATTTAAGAATTGTCTACATACGAATCGACGATAAAAGATGAAGAGTTCAAGTCGTCATAACATGTATTCGTTAACGACGACGCCAGTTCAAGTTCAATTTTCTGATGAAAGTTAGCCGGCTTAAAATAAGATTTCTATTCCTTCTTATCCAACAATAGCTACGTTTTCATATAAGCTATGTTCGAAAGTATTTGTTTTATGTTGAAACTGCCTTATAACAGAGCCTTGGGTTTATAAGAGAAGTATCGTTTTGAAGCTCATCATTCGCACATGAGGGCGGAAGCTTTCGAATTATGTCGCCACGCTCTTGTACGGTTTGGTATTGCTTGTTGTATGCAGACGGCGTTCTTGCCCAGACAAATATTCCAGTGCAAATTGTGTTTATATATCAACAGAAGGAAAAGTGTATTGCAAACTAGTCTCGAGCGATTTTTTAGGAAACAAGCGCATCCTTTCTGTGCGGGCCCGGTTTAATATTATGTCAACCATTTTAAAGTACAAGACCTCTTGCCTTTCTCAAATCAATAATAGTAAATAAATGCCGATTTAGCTAACTGATTCAAGCGCTCAACTACAAGTTACTGATTCTGGCTCTGGTTGAAAGCGGAAGCACTGTTAAGCTGATGGCGAGTGAACCACCATGCTCGGCAAGAAACTCAAAAAGCCTACATGGAATATGCTCGAAAGCAAACCTCGATATCATTGATGTAAAGAGAAATCTCTCGCCGTTCATTCACATCTATATTTATCACAATTTTCCAACGAAAATTGTGGTAGATATAGACAAGAGTGAACAAAATGTCTGCCACCTTTTCAAGTACAACGTTATTTATCACAGTCAAACAACTGTTAGTAGCGAACGATATGTAAGGAAAGAGCTTAAACTCGCCACAAAATGACATAATTCCCTTCTCGTTAACATCCCTGGTTTCAAATTTTTCCGTATTTAATTTAGTTTTATCTAGAATTGCTCACATTTTGTGTTTGACACAAGTGATCTAGTCTGAAATAAGGCTAAAGTTATGCATGCTTTGGAACTTATGAAAAAGAAAAGCGCACTTTCGATGTAGAGTTTCACAAGAAATTACTGACGGCCGCCATCTTCGTCGGTAAAATTTATATTAAAGAGAAGTTCTTCGATCCTAAAAGGTATTTTGACAATGACCTAAATAAATAACGTTGAAATGTAAAATAAGCCATCTAGGTTAAGGCATATTAGTGTGATGGGATTTTCGGAATAAAGAGAGAAAGTTTTGCCAGGCATTTGTATTGCTCCGTCTTTTTCAATGCGCTCGATCTCAGCGTGAGCTAGGAAATTTTGCATATCTACACTAATAAAGGCTGGCTTTTTGAGTGGGAGAGTCCTGGCTGGGAGAGCGACCTCTAAATGTATATTTAGGAAGTGACATGAGCTCCTCCTTGCGCACAAAAGTCAACATGGCGAAGGTAGTATTTGTGGAGTTGAAATCATATCAAGGCTTGAAAAATACAAATATGCTCACAAGTCAACACTTGACTTGTCATCAGTTCTACTTAGCACTTCTGTTTATGAGATGGTATTTCTTTCTCATATTTGAATTCCTGTCTATTGTAGCTTTTCAAAAACATTTATCGATATCTTAGAAAGACTGACCCTCCACGTGTAAATCAAATTCATAGGATGGGATTGTAAGATCGTAAACTTATCTTACAGATGAATCATCGAAGCATATAACACAATTTTTTACACTCTATCTCGTGTGGGGTTATTTTTAAATGCAATTGGCAATGTTTTGTCTCAGTTACCTCCAGGGTGCGGATGCACTCGCCACAGAATTGAATTGAACTTCTCAAAACACTTCATGACCACCCACCATAAAGGACAAAACAATCCAT